TAATGTATATATAAAATCATTATTTGTTTTATTATATATTTACGTAGTTGTTTGTTCTATCGTAATAGTTATATTAACTACATATTTCATTTAGTTATCAATTACAATTCATTATCAACAATGAAAATCAATTAAATATATTATTTATATAAAATATATTTACTAATCACATATACGATGATTATTGATGATAATCAGAGGGTTATGTATGGTATGTGCACTAGAAGATAGTTGTAGATTGAGTGGGAGTGTGTAGTGTGTAGTGTTGTGTGTACTAATGTTAAGTTTGGTTTGTGTGTTGTGATTAGTGCGTCTTGATGTATTGTATATATTGTATATAGATATGATCCAAATATACTATTTTCCATTACTTGGAAAAGTATTAAGCTTTATCAGTTATCATTTTACTTAGGTATTTATATGTTATATTTTAAATTTATTGTGTTTTTTATATATCATAAATCATTATCATCAGACAATAGTCTATCTATTAATTATAACAATGATATCTAGTATTTTAATAATTGTTAATTAGTTCCAATTATATATCATAAATACAACGATTAATAATTATATTAGCATTATTTATTGTTTAACAATAAAACTACTGTTAATATAAATTCTTTTAATGCTTTATTTATGTTACATAATGTTACTAATTGTGATTATATACAGTTTAATGTCATTTTTTGTATATTAGATTCTAACAATATAATATAAAAAAATTAAAGATAAAATTTAAAAAATCATATCAGGAACGAAGTCATACATATCAGTATTTAGATAGACTGTAATATGTAATTGATAATTATAAAAGAAAAATACAGATAACACGCGCCACATATATAATTCACTAGCTAAATATAACTCCATGCAAAATATAATTTATGAAAGTGGCACTTTAATTTATAAAAACGGAAATAATGAACGAAATACATATGATCTCGAAATTACTTCATCAAAAAAAGATGCCAAAACATAATCACGTACATCTTATTAGTGATGAAATTCACACAACTATATTCACATTCAAAGGAGGAGAAAGAATTTCCTTGTCTTACATTACATTCTCACTTCATCCCCTTAGCGATCATCACAATTTCAATTAGATCAGATCTTAGATTCCAATAAATCGTATATCATCCGAGTTATTATAACTACATTGTGATGTTTTCTTACTTCTTTCTTGTTCCGCATGACCCTCCACCTCATTTCCTACCTCTTGCTCTCCTTCTCCTCCTATCCCTTATTCACCTTTCCTCCTCATTGCTATAATATTATACTTTTTATTAATTATGTTATATTTAATTTATCTATTTTTTTATATATCCCTACTTTAATAATAATATACCACTCTTCCTCACTCCTCTCCCCTCTTTCCTATATCTCCTTATCCTACTCATTCCCTCCTGCCCTTCTCCTTCTTACTTCACGTACTACTTCTTCTAATATATCATCCTCTAACGTCCCAGCTTACTCCTCTTCTCCTCCACCTCCTCCTTTCTTCATTCTTCACCTCCTCCTCTTTATCTTCCCACTCTCCTTACCTCTCTTCTTTACTTATTCTCCTTCTTCTCCTCCTCCTCTTCCTTCAAACCTTCTTCCTCCTTCCTCCTCCTTTTGTCTTCATCCTTCTCCACTCCTCCTTCACCTCGTAAACCCGTCGTCGTCCTCAATTATCATCAATCATTTATCATCATTATTCAAGTTTACGCTTCAAGAAATATTTTTTCAGTATTTTTCTACATCTAATATTTTAAATAATGTTCATATTTTTCTTCTAACCATTTATCACTTGTACCCTGTAGTTTCATCTGTGTTTCAATCAATAATTTAACGTATTGGCCCCATCATTTGGATAACAATTCTATCTTTCAATTTCCTGTTTCTCTCAAAGTACCCGATCCTTGAGACCTGACGTCTTAACTCTCCTATTCATCCTACTCCCAAATAATATTTCAATTCTGTATTTATTCAACTTCCTTAAATACATTCAATTTAATCAAATTGCTCAATTTCCTCATCCAATTCGCTATGAGCACTTTTTTACTTTTTTTTCATATCTTACCACAGACATTAATCACGTATCCTTTATTTAATTAACAGCTACGGTGAGCTCCTTTAGCCCGTTCGTTATAAGGAATATTGTATCTCTTATTATTCTGTGTCAATTTATTAGCCTCCCCTTTACTGCCTCTCTCAAATTTGTTCTTTTCATTTTTTAAAAAAATGAAATTTTTGGGGGAGTAGCTCACCCCTCTCCTATTTTTATAAATTTTCTAGAACTTTTTTTTTCATTTCTATTTTTTATTCCTTTTTCTCACTCTTCCTTAATCCCTCACACTTAACAAAAAAACCATTACTACATATTGTATTTTTATTTTTATGAGAAAGACCTTTTATATCAATTTATGTCTATTGTATATAAATATTTTCCCCATTTATATTGACATGAATCATTTCCTTTTTTTATTAATATCTTACATCCTCTTTGGATTGAGATATTAATTACTATTTAACTTGATCTTTAACCTTCCTCATCCCACTACGCACTCTCATATTTCCATTTCTTCTCCTAGCCTGTTATAGACTCATGTTGTTTCGTCTGAGATTTATTTTTCATTTTTCT